CGTTACGGTACATACCGTACCCCATCCACCCAACGGCTGCAGATGACACCGTCTGTGTAAGACCGCACAATACAAAGTCAAAATGCAGTATAAGTATAAACATTTATTGCATCTGTTCTTTCCAGCTGGTGGAGGCTCCTTTAGTTGAGAGAAGTCTGACTTTGTTTATGTCTTGTTACGCTCTGGGTGTGCATGTGCCGGTGCAATTCAGTTCCGATTATTTTTAGCTGGGATAAATTCCTTTCCGGGCGCCAAAGAAATCGCCTCAAGCAAAAACTACCCCAAAAGCTTTAAGGCGGGGGGAAAAGAAATCGTCGTAGTTCCGTGGATTTATGGTGGAGGAAACGTCAGGGCCGTGGGAGAAACGGGCCCAGAGCACAGAGCCAGGTCTCCAGCGAGGTACAGCGCAGAGCTGCTGGCACCGGTAGGTGTGCTCACCGCGGACGTAGGCGGACCGCGTGCCCTTGAGTCGGCGGGCGCCGCGCGCGTTTCCCTCCGCACCGAACGTGGCACTAGACAGAGAGGTGTAATTCAGCGGCCTTCGCCGCCGCTCAGTCTTTCGGGTCAGTTTTACCCTGCGTGCACGTTCAAATACCTGTGTTAACGTTTTGGCAGGAAACGGCTTTGCCCTGAGCGCAGCGTTTTCTCTTCCCCTGCGCCCTGCAGTGTGCTGCGTGCTGGCGCCCTGCCCCAGCCCTGCCCTGCCCTTCTGCAGCGCCTGCCTGTCGGTGCTGCCTGAGCCTGCCCCTGTATTCATAGGTCACACAAGTCTGTTCCCTCCTTTAGAGAGCGTTGCTACCCAGTCAACTTTCTGCAAGTATTGCTGCTCTTCTGTTCCTGCTTGTTTTTCCTCCCGTGTTAGGAGCCATGCCCTTATTCTTAGTCCCTGGCTAACTAGTAGCTTTTGTTGGGTTATGAGGAATAGGTGAAGGTCCCTTTTCTTGGTCAAAGTTATCTGGATTCAAAAAACCAAAAAGATAGATAGTGCACGCTGTCTCTGCAGCCAGCTCAGTTACGCTGTTACCAGGCTAAAAAGCACTGGTATTGTGGCACTAAGCAAAGGGCTAACGTCAGCATCCGTAGCCAGCTCTAGTATCAAATAACAGAACAGAACAACTCATCAGTGATATAAAAGTCGCTGCATGCTCTGCTGGCCTTGTTTCAGATGCCTTGATTGTAATTTAGCAGTGCTCCACAGGGTGCCTGTGCAAGGTAAAGGACAACAACATAGCTGCCAAGAGCTAAGAAAACGTGAACCATGTATTAAAATCAAACTGGTCATTGGGATACGTAATATACATTGTCACCTTTCCACTTTGTGTATTACAAAGCTTAAGATGCCTTTGGAGAAATAGTCAGAAACAAATTTCTGAGCAGCCAGCCAATTTCCACCTGACAGTTGCTGCACATAGCAATCTTTTATGACCCGCTCGTCTGCTGTACCAGCAGTCCCTGCCGTTCCACAAATTGAGGCTGTGGCAGATCTTTCCAGTACCTTAATATAATTCTTAGGGAGGTTAAGGTGTCAGACGCTAGTTAGGCTTTGGTATCTCCGCTAATAGCATGCTCTGCACTGTCATTTAGTAGAAGAGCAAACCCTGGGGAGCACGGGGAAATTCTACTTCCATATCCTGAAGGTAAATGGAAATATTGCTGTGTCCAGCCCATCTATACCTTGCAGCATTTCGGAAAAGCAGCGGCATCCCATCAAGAGCCCTGCAAACCTTCGAGCACACTGAAAAGCTGGCATGTCTCTTTGGCTTCTGAGAGTTTAATAAAGGTCTGTAATAACATTGGCCACCCCAGACTGTTTCAATCTTCCTTCCAATCTTAAATACTGAACTCTTACATGTTTAGTTTACAGGCGTTTGTCCCAAGAGCAGAATTTCTTGCCAAAAGGCTTAGCCCAGTTTGAAAGGACGTACCTGAAATGTGAATGAGCCAAGCCGAGCCTCTGTGACCATTTTAATTGGGCCGGCAGTGCTGTACAGCTATAAGTAAGGCTGCCACCTTTCAAGGGAGGCCAGACCCTGTCCGCATCCCCTGCTATTTGTGTTCCTAAGATTTATTAATTTACCAGCATTTTACCAATGTTTACCTTGCTCTGTTGGAGACTTACATAAATTCATAGTCACGTCAGTTAACTCGACTTTGCCACAGCTGGTGTAAAGCTGTAACAGACTGCCCTTTGGGAAGAAGAGACCTGACCTTTCAAGATGGCACCAGTGGCTTTGAATAAATACGTTTTCACTGATGCCAAAACACTTACTCATAAAGGGAGCTGTGGTACCACTTGTCAGTGGGGAAGAGTCCACCCCTCAGAAAAAGGTAGTTCATTCTTTGCGCCTATCCATGCTTTAAATATTCTAACAGGCCATGAATTGCAGTGGAAATTTCTCAAAAATGGCTACATCTCTGCTGAGAAGCCAAATGGCAAAAGGCGACTCATTTCACAGAAGACATCAAGCAACCCTGAAAACAATTTTCTCATCATTATAGAGCATGACCAGGTTCAGACTTGCAGCTCAGGGGGGACAGCTCAGTCTCTTATTATTTCCACCTGCAGCCATCCCATCTGTAGCAGCTTTGAAAATACAGAAACATGATCAAGAGTTATACGATGGTGCAAAATTTCTAGGAATCTATCAGAATAATAAGATTGTGCATCCTGTAAATTAAATAAATGATGACCTTATTATCAAGTACCCCGAGGACTCACATGGGCAACTCTATCCAGTGTGTGGGAAGAGAATAGACTATGAGAAAAAAGAAAGTAATGTTAAAAGGTAACAAATAATAAGGCTCATTTACTGTTGGTCTTTCAAACTCCAACAACAGAAGCAATTAATTTGCATCAATCAGGTCTTTCTCTTCTCTGTAATAGGGATGTTCTCCAGTGTTTTTAACAGCTTGCAAATTCCTATGACTATAATCAGCCTGATCCCACTGTGCTCCCTGTCAGATCCCACAATGGCTATAATCTGGCACCTGCTTGGTACAAAGCTTGCAAGTAAGGCTGGGTGCCCACAGAATAAAAATTAAGTATGTGCGTTGCAAAGGGGGAGGATCCGAGGGAATTTAGGGAACACTGGTGACAGCTTTTTTTCTTCTCTCTCAGCAAGAAAGTCCTGACTACGGCAGGTCAAAAAATCCCTGCTATTGTTCTGCCGTAAATCTCCCTCTTGCAGATGCAGAATTTCACTTGCAGAACCAGTGAGTACAGGGATGCGTTCCAAATAAAATCAGCTACTTCCATCTGTCTCTTTTGGACTACCCAGCTCACCCCTTGTCAGACTGCTCAGAAAGCAACAAATGTTTTTGTGCCTTGTCCAGTTTGCAGATCCTCTCCCTCATCTCTAATTTACATAGATACATTGCGTAGAAAAGCCTTGGTTTTAGATAACCTAAGCTTTTCGGTCTTTCTTCCAAATACACGGACTTTCCTCCCTGCAGAATTCAGTGGACCACATTAACCTGGAACTGCCTCAAGGAGATTATTCTCTGTGTAGGAGTTTATTCTGTAAACTGCCCCAGATATGGCACGTTTTCCAGCAAACTACTGCAGTGCCTCAGATAGAGATATTAAAGCTTTTAATCTTTGCAAGAATCTTTGGCCAGTTCAGTCAAGAAGGGGAACCTATACTACAGTGCACTCCCTTTTATTCATATGGGAAAACATTTTGACATGGTTTTTGTCATGGCTGTCTTTGCAGCTGCGTGTTAGAACTGGAAACTATTGAATAACAACTAGCATTGCTGTCCAGCTAAACCTGAAGAAACCCATGAACTAGGATCCTCTCCTATCACAGCGTACAAGCTTTGGTTCATGAAAACGGAGATGAAAAGAAAGCAATTCGTATAAAAGCTTGTTGAAAAAAAATGGGCTACATTAAAAGTAAGTTTTCTCTCAGGAATCAAGAGGATGGGTTTAACGCTAGGACAGCTTTTGATATTGATATAACACTTGTTAGGCCTGTTATTAATTATAATGGCTCTTATCACCGTGCTTTCTGTCAGCAAAGTGATCTATAGTACTGAATAATCTGCACATTCCTTCAAGTGCTGTTAGGGCCACTTTGAAATTGCAGACACCGAGACACTGAACAGCTGGGTCACTCCTGTCCTGCTGGGAAGAGCCTAGCATGCTGTGGGCTCTCTCCCAAAGACATAATATTAATGATGGAGACCAAGGGTGCCACGGCAAGAGATGCAATCAGAAGTGAGAAGTTACTGGCTCCCAGGACTGGGCTCTGGTCACTTCTCCTTTAATAAAGCCCTGACTAGAGTCCAGAAGAGGTGGACCAGCTCAGATGGATGACATCAAATGAAAAAAGGGAAGAACAGGTTGCACGTGTAGGTCAAATCCCACCACCGTTGCCCGTGCTGTAGGACACTGAGTCACGCACTCCCTGCATTGCTTCCCCTGAGCAGGAGATAACCAGCTCAGCCAGGAAAACACATTTCCTGCCCAACACTGCAGGTCCAAGAGCACAGGGCCTGCAAATTGGAAGAACTGGCAGATCAGTAACAGCACAGCCAGCACATAATCTTCTAAACACTTTTCATTTAAGGGGGCAGTCATCTCACCTGAGCTGAGCTGTCAAAAATAGGGGTATATAGTCCATGTTAGTGGGCTAGGTTCCTTTGAAAGTCAGTGGAGAAAAATGTTCATATTCTTCACAAATCCCACTGAATACCACCCCAAAGGATATACAGGGACAGGTATTTGCACAGTTGTGTGTGTTGCATGCGTAAGTCTGCTCTGTCTGTGTTTCTTGACATCAAGAAGTGAATTTATCACTGGTCACAGTGAGAGCTGAGACAGACACTACGTCCGCTGCCCTATGGCACAGCCCACCCACGTTAGGGAACGCTACAAGTTACCCAAGCATGAACGGCAATGCACAGAAATTGCATTGCTGCAAATTTCAATCCTGTTCACATACTATGAGTAACAATGGAAAAAAATCTTGCAATTAAAAGGGATGTTCTTATAACAAAGCTTTATATGTTACAGACAGTTGTACTGAACAATGAACTAACATTGCGTTCAGAGTCAATCCACAGGAAAATAAGGAAATTACTGAAATCCTGTCCATGGTCAGGATTCAAAGCAGTTCACCCATTTCTTTCTGGGAAAGCATTTCTCTGGGTCTAATGAGTATGCTATTTTTTGATGACAGCCTTTCTTTTACTTCTAAAATGACAGCTGAAGAAAATAAGTGAACAGTATCATAGGCTGTTTGCATTGACTCTAATGATATTTAATGGGCAATGGAATAGTTACCAAAAGAAGTAGAAGCATCATTGCTGGGTCGTTTAAACCAGACTGAAGAAAGCATGAAAGTTTGGAGTCCTGCATTTGTGCCTTCCCGAGCTCCACCAGGAGACTGCAAATCCCATTCCCAGCACAGTGAACCCGGAAAGATAACAACTGCCAGAGCAGCCTGCAAATCCCTGCCCAGCTTCTAGCCGGCCTGGGAGTGTATGGAAGCAAAGGTCTGTGCAAGAGTTGTGCCAGGTCCCCTCCAGGCAGGAGGGCAGGGACAGTCCTGCATGGGGCGCGGAGCCCGGACGGCGGCACGGCAGGACGCACGGAGCAGCACCCTCCCTGCTGTGGCTCAGTAGACGATTCCTTCTGGCTCCAGCAGCAGGTACTTCTTCAGGGAGAGTGGGATGGAAAGCGAAGGGACTCCCCTGTGGCACCTTTTCGACAGCGTTTCCCGAATAGCGCATCTGCACAAGTGCATGAGCGACCGCGGTGAATTGCTGCACACAGCAAACAGAGAGTCATAGAAGTCCTGGTATCTCTGCAAGAAATAACAGTATTTCAGAGCAATAAGGCTTTCTTCCACCCCTCTCTGCCCCCCAACATGTGCACTGTTGCAGAATGAGGTAAACTAGCATACATGGCCATCCGATGCCCTAGAGCCTCATCGAGCAGCCGGGGCTTACTTGGTTTAGCCAGATGCCTGCATGAAACTCCTATACTTGTCACAAATACTTAGTGTTAGTTAAGTTACAGAGAATGCCTGACCACGTCTTTAGGTTTTGATATGTCTTATGTCCATCACTCTGAGGTGGGGTTCCTCTGCTAAGTGCCGTTAGTTGTCCTAATTTGAGAAGAGCTTTACCTGACTTGGTCAGTGCAAATTAACTGGTTAATCATCTAAACCTACCTCACTGCAAGGCAGCTAGGCAATAAATGACCAATGTTACTGATGAGTTAGCTGAAGCTAAGAAAAATAAACCAGCTTTGGTCTTGGTCACTGCCCTACTATCCTTTGAGAATAAATAGAATTATGTCTCCACAAAAGAAAAATGCAAGTATTACAAATTAATAATGTTGAAATAAAAGTAGAAAATGGTAAATATGTGAGAATAATGAACACTTCTCCAGTGACTTGACCTTATTTGATATTCTTGTTACTTGACAGACCTGGATAAACATTTTTTCAGGTGGGTATTTTATTTATCGATAAGTACAGGTTTGTGTTAACAAAACGTTTTCTCCAGTCTCATGTCAAATTTGGCAAGTGACTTTGACAACGAAAATAGCAATGGCAACAAAAATTAGAATAACTACAGACTTTTCTAAAAAATAACATTTCAATATTTTAGATTAAAATGTTTGTTTGGAAATGAAATTAGTTATCTCCTTTCTAATCACACTTTCAACTCACACAATGCTTTTCTTTTTTGTTTTGGTGAAAAAAGACTCTTAGCATTTAATTTTGTGTTTATCTAAATTGACTTATTTTTTCCAAACAAAGCTGACCTGGAAAAGCAGTTAGTCTCACAGTTCATCTGGCTCTGTAATTCTGAATTAGAGTATAGATCTGGTTCTCTAAACGCCACTGATAATGCACAGCATATATTGTTGCACCCTTCAGTGCGATTTGTAAATTTTGACACAGCCCAGGATTAGTCAAAAATAGGTGTAAGGCGGGACGCTGGAACTGTGCAGGTTTCTGAAGTAAAGCGAAAATAATAAAGGGATTAAAAAAAAACATGATAATTCTAATCAAGGCAGTTGCAACGCATTAAGGGCTGACCTCGAAGACATCGGCAGGTATGGCTGCTTTCCACTTGGATGTCGATGTGATGTGCTCGTAAGAATTGATGACAATCTCCACAGCTCTCGGGTGGGAGTGACAGGCCTGTAACACCTGCGGGCAAGACATAGACCAGGAACGTTTAAATTGTGCAGCCCCTGGGGCCTGGAGCCAGCCAGCCCTGCCCACGCATGCAGCTCCGCACAGCATGGTGCAACTGGCCAGCACCCCACGGAGCTGCGCGCACCCCAGCTTAACACCGCACGGGAACGCTGGCTCCGGTCCCCAGGGTGATGTAGCTTGCTGATGGGGGGAGTTTTATCACCTGAACCTGGAGATAACACGTTTAATAGCTAGGCTGAGTGTCTCAACACCAGCCGAAGCCACGCTCGTTCCAGGCCATGCAGCACAGGGAACAGGAACGCGTCTCCCCGCTCTCCAGCCCTTCCCGTCAAGGTTAGACTCTGCTTTTCGGAGTGGTGAGCTTGTCCCTACTGGGCTATCAAGGCTACTCATCCCCACTACATGTCCCCTCTGCACGGACAGAGCTTTCATGAGGGTCAGGAAGAGCCTCATGCTTGAAAGCTTGCCTTTTCTTTCAGTTATATTAGTGTACTGAATTATCTCTCCCTACCTTACTTCTATCCCAAGACCATAATAGCTACAACAGCATGGCTACAGCACGGCTGCTACAAATAACAGGAGTTTCACTCATTCATTAGAGGGAGAACAAATCTCCTCATCTGAACCAAAAATACATGGCTACTAGAAAAGACTGGGAGATGGCACAATTCGGAAGTAAGGCTGGCAACCATGCGAGGCCCCTGAGGCCCATGCTCTGCCCGGTCACCCTAGTTGGGTGGGTTTTCCAGGAGAAATGGGCCACAGTCTGCTGTTACCCATATGCATGGAGTAACGCTTTGCATTTGCACTGCACTGGGTACGTTTTTATACAAGATGCAGAAGATCCCTCTGGACAAAAATCACTCTACGTATTTTACAGATGGTAAATGATGTTTTAGAAGTGAGACCCAGCCCGGGCAGTGCATCAAAGACAGAGGTGGGCAGAGGAGACCCCTGGCCTGACTCTCAGACACACTCTAGGAAAATGAATGTTATTGGTTATAACATAAAAATAGCTTGGCCCAGACCGTGCTCCTCACTTGCTAGAGACACAGCCAGCCCAGGTACCACAGAAGATCTGGCATTTTACTCAAAGATTTCTGGTTGTTTGGCCTATTGACATTTTACAAATATAGTAGAGGAGCTGCAAAACGTTGTTTAGGGCAGAGGACTGGAGAGAATGAGTCCTGATTACAACAAGCTGACTTAGTTGCCTGAGATATGTCTGTCGGCTACTTCTGCCTGTGCTTTACAGAACTTTAGAAATGCATTGGGAAGGATCCTGCAATTTTTTTTTTTTCTTTTTTTCATCAACTTCGAACGCGGGTCCAACCTTTCCCCTTAATTTCTCACATTTTTCCTGGGAGCGAGCCAAAACTTTACTTAGCTCTATTTCAGCTTGAATAGATTTATATATTTTTAAAGGTTAAAAGTGACAAACTGAACTGTCTAATCTGATCAATATTTGGTGCAGGCCATGAAATATGGTTCCACCCAGTGAAGCCTGAATGGAACCGGGTTTGACAAAGACATATAGGTTTTCTGAAATGAGGAGAGTGAATCAGCTCTGAACTGTTTGCCCTGAACCAGCACTCTAAGGAGTGCTGGTTTCAAGTTGGCTAAGAATGAAAATGGGATCTGTGTCTGGGTTCTAGAATTAGCAAATGTAATTTTGCTTCCGTTAAATGATGTCAATTGTACAACAACTGATCTTGCAAGATTTTGGGCGTTCTGGGTCGACAGTTAGCAAGACTCCAGCAAATCCAGGTACCACCTAACTCTGCAGTTTGCATCTCTCATGCCATTCCTGTTAAAGACATCACCTCTCTCCACTATCTCTACTCCGCACAGAGTAGTCCTTAACCTTGTGAAACTGCAGGGGATATATCCTAGCTGCTCCATGATTCAGTAGCAACTGGTAGCAAATGTCAGGCTGGGCAGCTGGCCGCACAGATGTCACTTTCAAAATATATTGTAAGGGTGCGCAGCCGTTGACATCCATGATGTTGGCCTCTGCTCCTGCCTCCAGCAGCATATGTAGCAGCACGTGGTCACAGTTCCAGGCAGCTTTGTGGAGTGGTGATTTGAAATCCTCATCACGAGTATTCACTTCAGCTTTATAGTCTAGGAGCATCCGACAAATAAGGTGATGGTCTGGGCTGTATATCTGATCCTTATAGTGAAGGGCCCAATAGGCAGCACAGGCCAGGGGAGTCTCCATGTGGGCATTCACAGCATCAACGTGTGCTCCTTGTTCCACATAAAAGGCCACAAGCTCAGGGATACCCAAGCGTGCAGCTGTGTGCAGGGGAGTCTCCTCATCTTGGTTGTTTGTTTTTATGTTCACATTTGCTCCTGCCAAAGAAAGATGAGGGGAAAAAATCAACACAACAAAATTCTGTCTCGGACATCTCTCTACTTGAGCCCTGCTATGCAAGGAGAGGGCGAGGATGGGCAGCTAGCTTGAGAGATGCACGTGGAAATGCAGATAGCTAGGGGCATGGATTCCACGTTTCATAGGCCTCCAGAGGAACCCTCAGACACTTAAGATTCTTGGATCTGGCTTCAGATGTAACAGCTTGGCCCGAAGCACACAGAGGACCTTATCTAAGCTGCTAGAAGACCTTATCTGAACACTCTATTTTGAGCAGCATTCAGGTCCAAGTCTCTGTGTGAGGTGCTTTCTCCTATAAATTAGGAACTGAAGGCAAAAGGAGTGCTTTATTTATACTGCAGAGAATAGCTCTGCTCAAATCTGTACCCTGAGAATGCTTCCTGTAGCACCTCATTAACTGGGAGCTGGGAAGAAAGGACATTTTATGATAGCTCCATAGGTGACCAAAAAAAACACAACAGCGACATAGCTGAAGTCACCAGCTGAGGGTCTGGATCCTGTTTTCAAGCTGTTAGCAGGACTGTTAAAACCGCTGAATTGGTGCAGAATTTATATTCCGGCTGAAACAACAGCACCATCTTCTGGCCAATAAAGCGAGCTTCAGCTGCAGGAGGAAAAGGAGCATAAATTTTGCCTTGCCCTTTGCATCACTTCTGCCAAAATAGTGACAGACCTATTTTCTGCTTGCTGCAGCGTGGCTTTCTATCTACCGTGCTACTTGCCAGCTACCAGCAGTTTACTCTAAAGAATACAAATTACTACAGGAATAATCCCAAACACTGTTTGCTAAAAAAGAAAAGAAAAAAGGTTAACCAGATCCCATTCCCCAGAGCAAAGTGGAACCACAGTCAATATAAAACCACAGAGGGGCCAGGGGGCCAATGGGCTTTGTCGAGAGGTGGAAGATATTGAAGCTGGGTGACCACAGCAGCTAGGCGTCACGCACCTCTGTTTCTTTCCTTGAACCTGGGACTCTGGTAAACTGGCAATGAAGTATTCATGCAAGAGCAAGCACAAGCTGGGCTGCCATCCCATGTCTCTCCAATCTCATGAAAGCCCCTACATGGCCGTACTTACACTAAAACTGAGGTCTAAGGATGGTGGAGGAGGAAAGGGAGTCAAAAATTACCTCTGGACTGGAAAGTCTGAGCGCTAGCCACAGTGCGTGCAAGGCACATGGAGTCATGCTGACTTCCAGGAGAGCACCAGCAACCTAAGTTTGCAGGTGCCAAACAAAAATGGGATCGGTTTTGCCTTTTTGGTGAGTTGCCCAAACTATAAGTGATTAAGCAGCATTCACTTGAACCGGCCTGGTGTGACACCACTGAGGGGGGCTAGCAGGGGGAAAATTTGCCCGGAAAACTTTGGAGCAATGACATTAACTGAAACCTTGGCTATTGAGTAATGAGAACGTGTATGTCAACACCGGCCCCATTTTGCTCCAGAACCTGCCCCATTTTGTTTGGAGCCGCTGTATTTAGCTCACATGGGGATTCGAGTTTGCAGAGTGCTTTTGGAGGAAAGGCAGCTTGTGAAGCAGTATTATTCTGTTACTGATGGCAGGGCGGAGAAAGCCTTCAGAATACATCCTTTCGTTTGCATTCATCCTTTGCTACATTCTGTAAGAGTACATTGGACTTCCTAAGCTTTTCCATGGTAGCAAATTTAACTCCTGCTGTCAGGACTGCTTGCTTTGGGCAGGCTACAACTGGCAGCATTTATTTTCCTTTCTACTAAACAAAATAATATGCATCTTTCCAGCAGAAGAAAAGCAATGTGGTTATTCATTTGGGATTGCAGATTGCCTTGCCCACAAAGCATACTTGGACTCTACATTTCAAGAAAAGCCTACAATAATAACACATGTAGCAAAAAACCAAAAGCATTCGTACTTGCCAAGACAGAGTGTGATAATTAGGGGGATCTGTCTATTTGCAACTACGACTCTCGAATGTCTGACTTTGCTGTACACTTTATGACTATCTTTTATTGTGTCGTGAGTCAGCTTCCTTGTGCTAAGGAACCAGCGTGTGACACCAGTATATTTATCCATGGAATTATGACTATTCATAGGTTCATTGTTACAGATGATCAGCAACAAAATGAGTCTTACTTCGGGAAAGCATAATCTTATACAGTAGCCTAGACACTGTAGAGGTGCAGGAGTTTGGCTGCTGACAAGTTAACAGCATGAAAAATTGCATCCAGTTTTTCAAAGCCAGATCTTAAAAAAACAAGTACTTGGAAGAATTTTGCCAAGATCAAGGAAGTCTGAACACAAAAGAAGAGCGGAGGGGCACACTTTCATATGAAAATATTTTAATAGCAAGCCTAGATGAGGAAGAGAGAAAAAAAAATAGAGGCTCCCTGATAGAGGAGCCCTATACAGAGGCTCACGGGAGCTCACGGGAGCCTTCCCGTGTAACTGGAGGGAGCATGCAGGGGAAGCCAGGATGGGCAACGGGCTGGTGGCTGTGAAGGAGACACGAGCCAGGGACAGGGGCAGGGACAGGCAGAGGGAAGGTGAGGAGTCAGATGGGAGAAACCTCAGCTGCTCAAGGAGGTGGAGGAAAGAAGACAGGAGTCAGCTGGACTGGTAAATGTACCCATACTTTGACAACTTGCCTCTTAAGAGAAACCACAGAGTCACATCCCATCACAGGCAAGGCCACAAGAGCCTCTCCAGAACTCATGAGGACCTTTTGCTTTACCTTACCTCTCCAAACCAGCTCCTGGGCGCATGGCATGGAGGTTCGCGTCGTGCAGAAGTGCAAGGGCGCCTGACCGCTCATGGAGAAGCAATTCAGCTTAGCTCCATGGTTGCAAAGGATCTTGAGACACTCAACATTCGCCATTTCACACGCCACGTGGATCGCAGCTTTCCCGTTGGGCCGGCAGTTGATGGTAGCTTTGTGATTGAGCAGGACCGAAAGACACTCCAGATGCCCATACATGACAGCGAGATGAAGTCCAGTTGCCCAGGATATTTTTAATTTGTAGCTAGGCAGCCAATACCCTGTAGAAAGTGAAACTGTATTACCATCCTTGGCTAAGACTTTTCTTTGGATCACCTACTTACTGAGAATAATTGGGAGGGAAGGATTGGAGTTTTGCTTTCATTTACTATAATTTCACCAGCTAGAGTACACAAAGTTCTCTCAAGCATAACTTCCTTTTCATTAAGCACTTTTACGGTGTGCGCTGGCTTTTGGATAGATAATTCCCATGTAGCTGTACTCTGAAGGCAGCTTTCTTTTTTTCTCGTGACTTCTGTAGACTGAATTTAAAAAAATCTCAGAGCATTTGAAATGCCACCAACTAAAAAATATGGGGGAAATGGGATCTCTAGCCTGCCGACAGCTGAACAAAGGCGACATTAGAATAAGAAGCCAGCGTTTACTTAGGCCAGTGACTCAACAGCTAGCACATCATGCTGCTTGTGCATGGCAGAGCTCAGGCTCTTGTGTGTCAGGAGCTGGGCTCAGAGTTGCAGTGCTACGTTGCATGCAGACAGCCCCTCGCAGCGTGGCTGCAGCTGGGTCAGGCCTCCTGCCACCGACAGAGCTGGAGGTCTCTGTGCTAATGCAAATTACCTTGAAGAGCCAAGTGGCAGCAGTGACACTTTAGCATGAAATTTGGTTCCAAAATGTCTGATGATTTTTCTCTGCAAAATTCACAGCGATCTCTCTTTCTCTCTCTCTCTCTCTCTCTCTCTTTTTTTTTTGCTTACAAACAGGTGTAAGACCAAATAACAATTTTCTGCTCCCAAGATAGGACTACACGCTTAATGACTGCACAGAGACAGTCTCAGAAGTGATTACTATAATCATTTGTTTAAAAAAGTAAAACAAAATAAAAACCGCTAGAAGAGCAGCACGATTCTAGAACATTGGGTTTTTAGGCACAGCAGCTGCATCTTAGCTAGAATGTGTACATATAACATTTTCTGCATTTGATGTATTTATTTCTCCGTGAACAATTGCCTGGTTAAATACTGTTATCATGTAAAAGACAGGAAAATACTAAAGATGTACAAAGAGATCAAATTAATTCAAATCTTTCTTTATTTTTGAATCTCTAGTTGTATATAGCTTTTCATCCTTAGTGTCACATGGAAACAGTTTTTACAGTAATCAGATGTATTGAGTTAGACAGAAAGGGAGATGGGAAGGAAGTAAAGAGGTAGAAACAAAGAGCTGGGGACAGGGAGAAACTTGGATTAAAGTTCCTCTTCCCCTCCTTGTTAAATTGCAAGTATGTCTCTTAAAATAGACGTCAGTAATGCAGTTCTTGTAAGCCTTTGAAAAATGCTAGGTTTCAATTTAAAGGGTATGGTTATAAAATTGACAGTCAAGACAGCAGCTGCACCTGCTGCTCTGGCATGTCTTCAGTGGCATTTTGCTGAAAAATATAAGCATTTATTTCTGCCAGCACATGAGATCTCAGAGGTGAGAAGAAGTCTACGAGGGCTGTGAGAAACTTGTCTATAATTCGTGGCACCCCCTTTAGGTCTAAATTTTGGGGACTACCAAAACCTTTGCCAAAGTAACCCGCTCAGTCAACGGAGAGAGCAGGTAGCCCTAAGTCCACCGACATGCCTAAACTGGGGACAGTCTCTCCTTAGGAGCCACTCAGAAACTCTCAAGCTATTGACTGTACAGCTAACTTTGGCGTTTTCTGCAGGAAATCTGCTTCATTAGTTTCTCCCGAATTGGGCACACATGAGATGGGCTCTGTCCCAGGGCCTATGCATATGGCAGAGCAAGTCTCCTAAACCGACTCCCTGCCCAAATTCCTATTCCTTCTTGTTAGCCACGAGCTGACTTATCCCACACAGAGCCAGGCCTGATGGCTGGACTGCCAGAAAACGTACAAATGTGAGCGCTAAATGCACGAAAACGATCCCAGAAAGCCAGGTTACCACTTCTTAAAGCCACCACTTTCCTGCCCGAGACCACCATGGATTTCATTTGCCTGTGCTGCTGTGGCTGAGCTCCCTCGTGGGTGTTGGGAGCATCTCCCTGCTCTCTGCCCAAACCCCAGGCATCCCTGAGCCCAGCAGAATGGCCACCAAGGCATGGAGCTGGATGTGGCGTGGGCTTTGTGGGAGCCTCTCTGTGCTTGCTTGGGGTGAACACATAAAAAAGCAATGGTGCATGCAAGGTTAGGGGACTTGCGAGCCCGCAGCCTTCGGCAGAGGGGCCGCAAAGCAGCTCTACCATGCCATGATGCCATGCCGTGGCATTACCTTTCCACTTCACAGCTTCGGGCCTGGCAAAGCACAGGTTGTCTGGATAGTGCGTAACTGAGGCATGACTTTTCTCCCCTCTCCCTGCTCAAGGAAGTCCTCCTCTCAAACCACAGTTAGCTGGGCTTCAGAATAACAGTAAGATTTGTGCAAGAGTTGGTAGAGCGCCTTTTGCAGAAAGGAAATGAATCACTGCTGTGATTTGGGCCATTGGGTGCATTTACCTCAGCAGAAAGCAGGGAGGTGTCCTAAAGAGACAGGTTAATGCTTGCAGTCAGATGATCTACGATTAAAAACTTATGCATTAGTTCTGTGGCCTAAGACTAACACAAGAATGCATTTTAGCTTGCGGAGGACAGAAGAAAGACTATTTTAAGATGTTTTTAGCACTGAGAGAGTTAGTTCAGACCCTCTCACCAAGGAAAACGAGCCAGGGCTGCATCATTCTCACCCTTATGAAATCAAAAGAGCACAAGCTAATTGTTAAATAAGAGGTAAACACAGCAAATGAGGAGAGCTGGGACTGTTGTCCCTTCTTTAGGGCACAGAAAAAAGGTGTATTTGTTGTGCTGCTGGAACTGGAAGGGTTTATTTCCATGTGTGCTTAATTTCTGGCAAAGGCTGGTGGTTACAATTTTTTAGATTCACATGAAGAATCTGATGGCAAGCAAATAATGAAGTGTGCTGACTTTAATTGCGACCAAACTTATTTTATTACTTTGAGTTGTAAGTTTTTCAGAAACTCAGCCAGTATGTGGCTGAGAACAGGTTTGTTATTTCTGTACCCTGGAAAAGCTCTTTCCTGGTTGTGTCCCCTCATGGTATTTTTATAGATAGTTTGTTTTGATTTGATAGATACAATGGCACTTTGAAAACTGAATCTCCCATTCAGCGATGCTCAAGGTCCGCAGGACTCCCTGGGGACTGAGCTAAGGACAATTCACTGTACTACTATTGTAAATTGAAAATTGAAGAGACTGAACATTTCATGTTTCTAAATGATCTGTTTATGTGACATACTGGGTACGTGTCAGAAATTTATATATCATGCTTAGCTGCATGGTCTATTCTGGACTTTCCACTTGAATTCATGTGAGGCAATGCCAACGACTCCTCTTTCTAGGCTTCCCCGAACCAGCAACACAGAGGCTGGGTTGGGTCTCCAGCCTGCCCTTGGCCGAGCCCACGGATCAGGCCAGCAACCTCCCCTCCAGCGGTGCCCACGCAGTGCGGGAGGCAGCCCCGGCTGCCACCTCCTCCACGGAGGAGGACTCAGGCTCCTCCTCGGCCCTCGGCCACTGTATAAACCTACCGCGATTTACAGCCTGTGACTCGACATACATGGGCAGGGTCTGAAAGGACAAATGGCCACGGTTTCTTCTAAATTACTCAAACCTGCCTACTTCCTGCCGTTGTGTTTACCTTGTTTGTAGGAGGCCAGAATCAAGTTTTCATCTTCCACTTCAAACACCGTATCCACATCTATTTTCTTCTGGCTCAAGAGCTCGTCTAGTGTTTCATAGTCATTTGACTTCAAGGCTTCAAGAAAAGCTTTTTTCACCAACTTGGCAGCTGCTGCTCGAGTCATTCTCTCCTCCGTATTCTCCTCTTCTTTGTATGTCTCCTCCAGGTCCATTTCCAAACGTATTTGTTTGTGTGGGGAAGAGGGGTGCACTGAGGTCCTAGAGCAGAGCTGCATGCTGAAGTTCCTGGAGACCAGAAGGTAATTTTATCGCTAAGTCATGCTGAGCTGCTTGTTCTATTTATATAAGGAGCATTTCAGGCATTGAAATGCCACTCTTGGATATCACCACACTCTTTTTATGAAAGCAAAGACAGGCATGCTAGCAATAACACCAAAATAAGAATGATCATCATGGGCTTTATATACCTTAAGCTTCATTAAGCATATGGTTACCCTCTGCTCCTGCCATCCATTCATGTTAAAAGATACTAGTCCTGGCCATTGTTTCTCAGCTGGAGAAACACTCATGTTTCTTTTCATGGTTACCATTGCTGATTAATTGACTGCAGCGAGAAATGATGGTCTCTCTGCAGATGCCTTTTAACTAGTGCATTTAACAAAAAGGTACTCTTCCTGGGGGAGGCTGCTCACTCCCTCCCAGGACAGCACTTGGCGCGTCGGTCCTGATTACATTCCTGCAGCCACCAGGGAGGCCTCTGGAGCAGCACCCCTGCCATGCAGGTCTCACCCCAACCTGCAAAGCCCCAAGGGATCACATCCTGTTTCTCTAGCCCAAGCTCCTGTGTAACATCCTGAACAGCAGGATTTCCCTAGACCACATAGGTGCCAGGAGGCAATGCGGCTCCATCAGCTCTTTTCACTCCCCCGCATCGCCTAAATTACCCTTCATTCAAACTGAGAGTTCTTCCTCTCCCTCCGGATACTTTTCTCTCTCCCTCACAATGCCATCACCCACTGAATGGTTCCCTCTCCCTCCTTTGTCATTACCTGTCATGCACTGCCAGCCCTGTCCCTGGGCTGGCAGCAGCGTGTGAGGATTGATGCAAACTTGGCTGCTATGAGTTGCTGCTATGCACCATGCAGTTCACGCAGCACCAATGGCACTTGCACCCACTTGGGCTCCTGGATGGGACCATAGCCGGTAGGAGACTTCCCATTGTTGGTTTAAATGGGCCAGTATTGCAACCATTAAGAAGATATTTTCATGCTTATTCTTCCTGACCTCCTGCAAGTTCAGCTGCCAAGTGGGCTGATGAGGAGATGTGAGCTGGGTGATACTGGAAATTGTGGCAGCCCCTGTGTTCCTCAGGTTTCCGGGGTCCAGTCTCCTCAGCCAGCCCTGCAGGACGTCCATCCACGGCAGTGTTCCCCAGATCCCTGGTAGGGCCAGCGTGCCGTAGAAATGTTATGGAACAATTCATGGAGAATTGTAAAGTTTATGACTACCTCATACCTAACTGCATTTGAATAAAATATGTAAACTAAATAAAAATCGTAAATGGAAGTGCTTTCCTGAGGTATTGTGTTCAGACCTGTAATAAAGTTCGGGGGAAGGAAAAAGACTAACCCCAATGCTCCAGGCATCAAGTCTGCATCTTTCTAGCCTTACTCTGAGTTTCAGTGCCAACTTAGTTCTTAGTACCTTTACCTACTCTCCTGCACGACTGCCTCCCTCTTTCTTTGTTACTCTCAGTAGTGGATGACTTCACTCCACGCTTTAAAAAACATATTAATGCTTATCTGCCATGAGCAGAAGGGTAAGATGTGAACTTTGGATTTTATTGAGTTCTTGTTACTTGCATCTTTTTTTTAACCACTAAATCCAAAAAGTTATATAAGCACAAAGCACTGATATGTGGCTACAATCAGTAGCTCATCTCAGCTATGCTTTTCCTTATGAAGTGGACTAGTTTTTCATCTATCTGTGATAAACAGCATTAGATTTATGCAAGGTCATTCAGCCTAGCTGTGTATTGAAAGGTTCTCTCCAGCACGTCTCCATGCTGCTCTGCCATCTGAAACTTCAGATGCACTAACAGATTACGGTAACAAATCACAGCCTGTCTGCTGATCCACTGGGTTTGCTCTTGGTTGACAACCAATGTGAAGCCATTTGCAATAGCTTGGCCCACAGTCAAAGAGAAAGTTCATTAAAATCACCTCACATTTGTCAAGATCCAAGAGGCATGCACAGGGACAGTGCCTCAGACCAGCCATTGTGCTATAACTTGCTCGCCTTCAGTAATTTGTGTGGCCTTGCTCTGATTTTGACATAAATCTTTCTTAACATTAATGAACTTCAAAGAGAAAAAGGAAACAAATATAGACACCTGCCTCCTTTGCAGTTAGTGTTTGCCTGTACAATGCATTTGGGCCTAATTCTGAGACACCTACTCATACGAAAACACTACTGCTTTCAATAGGATTATGTACAAGAATAAGGAAATGGCCTTATGTTTTACACTGACAAACAATCACATAAAACTTCACTGATTTTTTAAGGAAACACATAAGAAGTTTTATTACTTTACTTATAGTGTTGTGAAATATATTTAAGAATATATAAGTACTGACAATCATTAGTGGGACAAAATGACCAATTTTTCCCATATATCCGTATTTTTTTTTTATTTTTATTTTTATATTCCACCATACCACAAGGTGGCAGTTTGATTTTGAAAGTCAAAACTGATGGCATCCGAGTCTCAAAGCTGCCAAGTATTCTCAACATTTTACTGTGAAACAATAGTACATCACTGGTTTAGCACAAATAACAGTACTAACATTTACTACGGCTATTTAAGGTTAGGCTTGTAGCCGCTGTGATGGGCACTGCACAGCACTCACATGTTGTATCCACTAAGAAAATCTGGTTTCCACATTCAGAAGCAACTGTCTAAATTAGACAGCTAGTGTAAAGGCATAATTTTACTGGCGAGACAAAATCTTGCCCCCAGTGTTTCCTTGTGCTCCACACAGCACGCTCATGTTCACAGGCACACAAATACCTGTGTCTCCCCAGGATGGGCTAGATCAGCCTCTCATAAGTCATGGTGAAGAAACAGGTGAGAAGGGCTGCAGCAAGCTGGAGGAGAGCAGGCAAAGCCCTTCAGGTGTGCACAGATTTTCAATTTAGTCAATGGCAGTCTTGTTGACGACCTCAGATGGGCTGCTGAAGACCTTCTCTGACAGATGTAGCAGGTTATTGTGGACATGATCCACAATCGGCTGAAGTCAAGGGAAGCATTTCCACTTAGGGGGCCATGTCCTTTACTAGGTGGGCACCAAACAGCAGAGCTGAGCTGGGGAAAGTTGCCTTGAGGTGGGTGCATGAAGGGAATTTCACATGAGGGGAGGATGGTCTTATGAGAAGGAGGGCTTGGTGACACAGGGGTTTGTAGGAAAGTCAAAGATGTCACTGCTAATAGGAGGCAAAGACAATTTTAAGGAGAAAAGAAAAGGAGAATATGAGAAAAGATATCCTGGTAGCCTGTGAAAAGTGTGTCTCCTGAGGAGATCGGAGGAGCTGGGGCCCCTCTGTTGGCACTAACCGCTGTGGAGCGATAATATATTGGCAGCTACGTGGCTTATGTGTCCGCAGCAGAGCTGGGAACAGCTCTAGCGGAGTAAGGTTTTTGGAAGTGAAGAGCAACGTCCTGAACTCTACGCAGGGGCAGGCAGAGAGCCAGAAAAAAAAGAGAACAGCTCCAAAAGAGTGGCTGTGAGGCAACTGGAGCAGCAAGGCAGTTGTTAGTAGCTGCAGCCTGGGAAACTCTCCCGGTAGAGGGCCGAGGGACTTGTAGTGCCCCGCAAATCAGCCTGTGCTACAGCTATGCTGTCAAAAAGGTCACGCTGGTGGGGTGGGCATGGAGAGCATTGACCGATGCAGTGTCACCCTCCTGCAGCTTCAGCAGGGCTGCTGCGAATGCCCTCCCTGTACAGGGGGTATTGAAACACTGTGTGCACCCCACAGCTCTCAATCTTGCAGGCAGGTATTGGTGCGCTTGGCTCACTAGATCTCAGCTGTGTGAGTTAAGCACCCTTTCCTTCCCGCAGCGGATCACTGGTTAGAGTAGGTTACTTAAGCAGTAAAAATACAGCCTCCGTGTGAAGCAGTCAGTCCCGCTCAGCAGCCTTCTAAGTTTGGAAATGTGCTGAATACCAGATTTGCTGCCCTGAAGCAAGAAATGGATCCTTGAGTTAATCCCACACTTTCATCTCTTCTGAACAGTGCAGGCTCTTGAAAATACCGTTGCAGTCATGGTCACAATTCCCTTATTTTCCGGGGCCTTTACAGCCTCTGCAGCAGCAGCCCAAGTTTCCCACATTGCGACCCAGGCTGCTTACAAATCAATTGTTTCTTCCCAACCTCTCTTAGCTCCCAAAATGGATTAAGCTCAGTCCTTTTACTTAGCTGTATCACACATTTTTTTGCTACTGTTAATATTGCCTTTTTTTATTCTTATACATCTTTCTGCTTGCTTTAGCCACTGCTATATTTTATCTGATATCCTTCTAGAATGCTGACTCTTAAGTATAAAAATTACATAAATCTTTCCCATTCTTCTCGCTTTATTTCTTAGTGGGGAAAAAATCCTTAGCTGTGCCAAGTGCAAACTATTTTTTGCAGGTGCTCAGCTCTTCTGAGAAAAGCTCTCTCTGTAAATTAATCCCTGTAGCTTGTTCACCTTCTTAGTGTCATCAGTTTGGAATCCTCCTCTTGTTCTTTGTTGAATTATTTTGCTTTTGTTCTCATTTGTTAGGGACAGGAGGGAAAAAATGGGAGTCCCACATCCTCAAAAGTATTTAGATATTTATGTCCCAACTCCTTGGAAGTCGAATTCCTCGGAGGTGGGAACCTATGTATCTTTGAGAGTCTGACCTTCTATTTTTGCTTTTAGTTAAGTAAACACAATTTTGAAAAGTATACTGAGAGATGCTTAGTCTTGGGGCACATGTACGTTATAAAATTAAAGCTTGATGCCAACAATCCTGAACTTCACGGTAAGACTTCATGGAAAAGGCTTAGCACGTTCTTCCATGCGTTTCTTTTTGGTTTTGATGTGTACTATTTCCATCTTCAGCTCCAGGGATCTATTTCTTTTGTTTATGTGCATTCCACATCCTGCTATCAATGTATTCATCCGGATAGCCAGAAGCTACTGGGTGTTATAGTTGGGTTAGCTATTGATGGCAGAGTGGTAGTGTTGAGTTTAGGATGTTTTAAAATGAGGAATAGTCTCCCCAAAATGCCCATTAAGACAACGTACTGAATATAAAAAGTATACACAGAATATCCTTATTTGCAAAACAGTTCAAACAAATACAAATACCGCCTTTACCCAGGTACAATGCTGTTAGGTTCTTTGGTTCAAAGGCATGTATATTTGCAAACAAGATGCCTGTCCTCTGATATAGGGAAATTAAAATCAGGCAGTCAGTATTTTCAAGGAATGGAAAAAATAAATCTTACCTAGCTATGTTGAGTGGAAAATTCTTCTCATATTTTTGCAGCTTTGCGTCATAATATCTGGCAGTACTTAAACCTGGGGGATTTTGTAACCAAACTTAATCCAAAACCAAATGTAAATCTCTAAGAGTTCTTTCCTTCCGCTGAAGAGAGGCATAAACTATGGGTTTAAATGAAGCCTGTGGAAGGCAGCTCAGTAGAGACAAGTGTTGCCTCACAGCAGCGAGACAAAAATAATTCACTGCCCATAGAAAGAGCCCTGCAGGAGGCTATGTCTCTCCTCTCCTCTTCCAGGGCCGCCTGCCCGCTGCTTGGCCGTGCTTCCCGGCAGGGCGGCCAGTGCCAAGCTCTGGCAGTCCTTGGCTGGGGAAGAGAAGCTCTCATCGGGCCGTTCCCAGCAACTTTTGCGAAGTGAAACTTGGGCAAAGCTGTGTGTGGAGCTGAGCTGGTGTATTATGAGATGTTTCCTATATATTAAATACGTATCAAGCCAAGTGACAGCGGTTTTCAGCTAGGCAAGCAGCCAAAGTGTGGAAGGCTCTTCAGTTTTGCAAGGGTGGCAATGCTCCAAAATACAGTCCTCTTGGATCAAAATACTGACACATAAGGGAATATTAACTCACTCAGTAGTAGCAGTACTGTTTGCCAGCCTAAGAATAAGACTGTTCCTGCTGTAAAGGACTCAATTTGAAGTGATGCCAAGACGAGACACATGGAAGAATCCGCCAAGAGGGAGGAACGTGTGCAGAGGGAAGACGAGATATCGCTAAAACAGGCAGCGCACAGCAAACACAGGGTTAGGTATGGTGATGGAGCAGATAGGGAATGTGCAGCCCTTTGGTGGCTCCATAAAACCGTTGTGCACTCGTATGACTGTGCCAGTGGTCTGGATGCCTGTTTTTGATCTCCTCTGTTGCCTGTGTTTCCCACCCTCTCTGGATAAATCAGTCACTGATAAACAGCACTTCTTGTCTGCTGCATTTCTAAGCAACGTAAGCTGTTAAGCTCACTCCTTGCAAGTATTGACATCTTCCTTCCCAGAACATGACAGACCAAATCCTTACTTGCAGAAGTAATAATTTAACTATGTTAGTCTAAAGAATGTGCATATTAGATGCCGTTTTTATTGGTACGGTGCGGGATAAATCTTGCCTATACTGCGGGAGTGCCAGCCTTATCGACAGACATCAGCAATTCGCGTGAATGCTGCAAGGCAGAGCTAACCTCGGTGCCGTTGTGAAAGATGCGGAGCAAAGGGGGTGAGAATCAAATTGTTGTTCTCCCAGCTGCCGTCAGAGCTGGGACAGTGGGAACAAATTCCCATGTCACAGGGAAAAGACCTCAGTATGTTGATCCATCATCCTGAGTGCATTAGTACAAAAGCCAAGAAAAAAAGTACCTATTCCTCATTTAAACTCAGAGTTGCCTTAAGTTACATCGGTTATTAAAAGATTTTCTGAGGAAAGAAAATAACTAAGGTTACCAGTTACCTCTTGTGCTAAATGATCGAGCCATTAATATGGTTAACACATTAACATTTTATAACGATTTGTATTTTGATTCTGCTTGTGTTGGTTTTGTAATATTATAGACTATCTACTGTAAAATTATATTCACTCTAATCAGGTCTGAGTGCATTTACTAAATCTATATAGAAAATGTGCTTGCAGTATTAAAGGCATTTTATTGCTATTTAAAAATTGGTTGCCATAGTGACCAATCACAACTTTCTCAGTAGCTTTGTCTAGGAATTAGATGTAGGTTTTATTGTGGCTTTGTTTTATTTTTTCCCTCCGTGTTCTGTGGACCAAGTCCCCATTTGACTCATTTTTGTTCTATCTACAGCCTGTTCTTTTTCAACCATATTCTCAATTAAGCCAATAAGAGTTCTGACTGAGTCTAAAATAAAGAGCATGACTTTGGCTCTTCAATAATAATTATGCAAGAATCGGAAAAACATAATGCTGCACGCTGTGTGCTTTCTTTATCGTTAACAGATCACCCAGAGTTAATACACAAAAGAGTTCTGAAGTTTCAAAAGCCTTGAAAGGCTGATACCTTTTAGTATCAATTTAAGAGTAATGTCAAAGATATGGTGAACTGCATCTACAGTTGAAAAGCACTCATAGAAAAGCCTTCTTATTTCGAGATTTTTTTTTTATAACCAAGCCTTTAAAAAAATCAACCTATTTATCACTCAATTGCAGCCCTAATCCCCTCAATAATGCACTCTCTTTTGAGAAATAGTGACTCAAAGTGCTGTTTTTATTCCTCCTTGATGTATGTATCTTATCCAAAGGAGAAACATGGAATCAAGAGCCCGCCCACCGCTGCATCTTCTGTTTGAGGCTAGTGGAAGATTTCTGCACTGAGTGAAGCAGCGAGGATGTTTCTGGAGTGAATAGATAGGGGAAGTAGGAAATGCTACTCATTTTTGCCATTACCTTTCTCAAGACGCACTTCTATTTCCTTCGTAGGCACAGAGAAGTGGTAAGCAAAGAATGGAAAGATACAAGCAGGAGTAAGATAGCCTGGAAGATGATGTGACCCTTGCAGCATGACAAAATTGGATTAGGCAAGAAGACTTTTTTTTCCTTTTGCTCAAACATAGGTACCTACAGTACCTCCTGGTTTGTCACATCATCTCCTGGGAAAATCTGAGGGGACACTTGTAGGGTGCAATTCCACTTGCCCTACGATGGAGGTCAAAAATGGACCAGACATACTTTAGAAATATTAATTTTCTTCCGCTAACTATAAAGGAAGCCTAATATAATGTAGCTCTGAAATGGGTATCTTTGCTGTAGACATCTTAAGTTAACTGAGCGTCGGGGCTCTGAGGGCACTGCCAGCCCTCACTCTGCCTGCCCATCCCCCTGGGCCTCCCTGTCCCTGCCCAGGACTCCACATGAGGCAGAAAAGACACAGTCTAGCTTATTTTCTAGAAGCTCCTTCTGGATCCTGCTTCAAGACCAGAGGGATTCACATACCACCTGAGCTGAAAGCCACCCTCAAGAGAAGGGTGGATGCCCACTTCCAGCACTGCTCCCACCACTACCTTGTCAATCTGCCCTCATATCCTGCCTCCTCCCGAAAAGTGGTGTGTATACAGGCATCTTTGGATTACCCAAAGGCTCTGGTTCTGCCAAAGCCATGTGCTTTGCTCCCCGGCATGTATTTCCAGAGGAGAGACTATGATGCAGCAGCTCCTGGTGATTTCAGTGAGCATTGGATTAGGTCCTAGATTCTTTTTTTGCACAATGCGTTGACAGTTTAGGCTTATAAGATGAGTAAGGTAGCTTATGAATCCATATGAATTATACCTCTATAGGGATCTATACTGTTATAACAGTATTCTTCCATAAATACCAATATACCTTTACACCTGAATGAAAGTATTTTTAAAGCTAAACAGTAAGAACATAACCACAACAGGCAAACTGTCTTATATTTTAGCAGTACAACTGCAGGAATCTTTTGGCTTTTTGAGATTTACTACTCGTGTAATTTAGACAGCCTTTCCTATGGAAGTAGTATTGCTTTCAGCTTGCGCGTATAGCTTAATAAGTGAACCTTCAGCTGAAAGATTTTTGCACTTTAATTTCAACTTAATTCTAATGGCGGGTGGGTAATTATCCTACATGTAGGGAACAGATGTTACTTGCATACTCTGCAATCTTTAGGAGTCTGTCCCACCTCTATATACCCCAAACAGATTTTTTTTTTAGGTCATGGTTTTATGACAGTATGTTTAGTTTTCACATTAGTTTTATCAGCAGGGCTTGAAAATTCAGGAAAAACTCAAACACAGAAAAAAATAAATCTTTCTTGTCAAGGAGCACAAAGCGCTTCCCATAGCACCAGATTATTGCTGATTGCTCCATTAGAACAGACTGAATTGAATGTCTCCTTTCCTTTGAGTTGTGTAAGAGCTTCTGAAGCCATATGTACCCTGACGTACATTTGAAGTAACTTCAGTAAAGTGAGAGCACCCCTCGTTTGTGAGGGGGTGTGAGACAAGAGCAGATGGACCTTAGCGGTGTTATACGGGGCTCACATCGATGTAAATCTGAAAGTAGACCTGGCTGTAAATGTGGGACAGTCCAAAAAGTGAGACTCCGGGTGCTCAAATCAAAATTCATGAGCAAATGTGGATTACTGCTTTCATTCTCCATTTCCATTTCCTCATTTTCTTTATGCTTCATGGTATTAACATAATTTAAGAAGCCCACAGTTTGTAAATAAACTCTTTATACTAAAACTCTTAACCAGAGGATGTCTGTTCTAGCACAAAACATCATAGTATAGTATGTATAATAATTTTTCATGTTTGTTGAAGAATTTGAGTGGCAGGACAATTTCCTTCCTTTCTTTGTGTTAGTAAAGTATTTTGAAAGCTGTTGAATTTCTTAATTTGACTTGATATCTTTTTACTGAAATATTGTATCCTGGAAAATCAGTTTTTGTGGACATTGTCTCAGAAAATCCAGTGTTCTGAGAAATTTGCCCGATATTTGCAATGCATAAATAAATAGGGGTAGCACAGGACTAGCTCTGCTTAATTATACATTTCCTTCTCATTCCTGTTATGTCACTGGGTGGTTCCACTTCAGTGTGAAGCTTGGCGGCATCAGTACATCACCATCTACCACAGCAGACAGTGGTGAGCCTCCTGTGTTGTGACACTAACTCCACAATTGAAAATTGATATTGGGAGCCTGCTTGGGAGGTTTTGCTGGGCTACACCTCGCCTTCTACCACAGACCACAGCTGTGTGCAATGCTTTGCCTGACACGGGTGCACACTGGTGTAGCTGAGCCTGCAGGAGTCTTTGACAGTGGTTAATATTTGACAGTGCTTCCAATCTCAGCGTTCAGGAGGGTGTTCTGGCGTTTTTTTTTTTTTTTTACCAGCAAGCACCTGAAAGTCATGCACATAGAACAGGCTGAGACTCTCCACGTGATGACACAAGAGTGATGATGAAAGGAATACGGCTCACCTTTGCTTGTATTTGAAGTCAGGCGCCCCTTTCACTACAGACACATGGCTTTAATCTTTCAAAAGCTGCACTGGTCTTCTCCCTCCTCTGCATGACCGTTATCAGTCACAGTGTTTGAGGCAGCTTGCTGCCAAGAGCGCAGAATTTCACCTGCAAGACTTAAGTGCTGTATTGCTAAGGCACACTACTAGCTCAGCATGCTCTTGCCT